CAACTTTACTGGCTAATAAAGGTGCTGACCTCACAACAATAAAACGGCATGGTGGGTGGAGAAGCTCCGCTGTAGCAGAACAGAAAGTTATATTGATGATTCTATATCTGATAAGCTTGATATTGCAAGGAAGACCCAAGGTACTAGTCGTTCCTTACAAGAGGAGACATCCATTGTTTCTACAGATTTATCAAAAACTTCGACAAACACTATGCGTTCTGAAACTGATGAAAACTACAAGCTTGTTATTAATGGAAACAATGAAACAAAAAATGAAATGTCTATTAATGTAAATATTAATGTTAATATTAATAATAAATAAATAAATAACTATGATTTAAGATTGTATTTTTCATTATTCCACTAGTGGATAAAGTGGTACTTTATATGCTTCATAAGTGTGGATAAAACTCCAATTATAATGTGATTGTGGCTAAAAAATTAAAATGATTTTGATTAAAAAATGTTGGTACATCATAGAAGGTTTTCACTTATCACTTTAATTTGTCATTTTTGACAACATAATTTTAATTCAGCCCATCAAATACCTATTACGAAATATCCTTTAATTTAAAGGATATTTAAATTTAGTACTTGCTATGATAAGACTAATTTTGGCAGATGACATACTTTCTAAGAAAATAGAGGGCTGGTGGGTGGGGTTAGTACTTGCTAAGATAAGACTGATTTTGGTAGATGACATACTTTCTAAGAAAAGAGAGGGTGGGTGGGCGGGGCTACTACTTGCTAAGATAAGAGTGATTTTGGCAGATGACATTCTTTCTAAGAAAATAGAAAGCGAGTGGGTGGGTCTAGTACCTGCTAAGATAAGACTGATTCTGGCAAATGACATACCTCCTAAGAAAATAGAGGGCGGGTGGACGGGGCTAGTACTTGCTAAGATAAGAGTGATTTTGGCAGATGACATACTTTCTAAGAAAATAAAATAAAATCGACAAAAGATGACACAAATTATATCCAGTAAAAATTTCAATTCTAAATCTTTACTCAAACATAAGTTAACACTGGGTACAAAATTTAATATGGGAATCCCTATGGCCACTTTTAAAAACGATGCACTGTATAATAATGTAAAATTCTTAAGTCGTTGGAATTAATAAACGTCTATATTTGAAATAACTGCAGTGAAAAAAAAATACTTTATGAAAATAACATCTAACGGGATAGATTTGACCTTTGTTGCACTACGTATCTGTTAAATCCCTTCAAATAAAAATTTGTACAATATTACTAAATATAACTTTGCATCCATTGCAACTAAAAAAGCGAATACCATAAATTATAACAAATGATAACGCGATAATTAAAAGCTAATAATAACATTTACCCTTTAAATCCTGATTTCCTTTTCTGCTTCGCCGTTTTTCGGAGAGTTCTGTTGTGCACACAACACTTACATCTTACTTTAATGGGAAAATAAATTATTTTAAATAAAAGTAAAACACTTAAACAAATCAATCTGCGGACCGAACGCACACTCCCACATCAGAGTCAAAAACGTGACAAACTTATTAAATGTCTGCGTAATGCCAAGCAACAAAAAAAATTCAATGTACTTCTTATCAGGAACTTTTTTGTGGAACGACGTGTCATAGAGCCAAGCAGTTTTTTATTTCAATGTTAAAAACAGTATTTTCAAGCGGATCAACAGTTTCAGTGACTAACTCATATAAAACTACGAAAATTACATTTCGTCAGAATGAAGTGACAAAATTCCACGACAGAATTTTACTTATTTTAACTGTGTATTTCAAGTGTGTTTTCTACTGCTTTTTGTATTCAGAACTATCTTTTAGTCAAAATTAAGTTTTTCTTTCCAATCAGTCAAAATCAAAATGTACTTAAATCAACGAACTTTTCAGTTTTTATTTAGAAAGAATGAGCTAAGAAGTACTTGAACAGTCATGCCAAATTTTATTTTTCTCGACGTTTTACAGCGTGTACAATGCAAATATAGTCCATTATTGTAACAGGAAAGAAAAGAAAATGTTAATTATACTTTAAAATTGTTGCATACTTATATGGTAAAGGAGCAGCTAAAAGTTGTATACCTAGTCATCTCCACCGAAAAATTGATGATGCTTCAAATTTTTGTGAATTTATATTGTAAATGTTTTAATAATATATTCATATTTTTACCTTACCGGCAGAAGCTCTTAAAAAATTCTTTAAAAGTGTCAGCACATTTTATATGTATTAATTTAGTGAACTACGGAACATCAGTTAAAATTTATTCATTCATTCCTTGTAGAAAATTGATGACGTCGTTACAAAAATATAACATTCTGATAGATTGGGATTATAATGATATACAACACTTATTAGATATTTATTTCATTTTCAGTTGATTAAAAATAAGATTTGTATTTGAAAGTTGCGTGAAATAAAGAACTATCACAATTTTACGACAGTTCAAATCTTTGAGCATATGCTAAAATAACCACTTTTGGTCTTGTTGATTGTAATTTTAAAATAAAGTACTTAATTTCTACAGGTGTAATGAATCAATAATGTAACAAAGACTAATAAATAATAAATAATACATGAACTACAGCCAAATGAAAACTTGAAAAATATGGAAGAAGAATGTATGTGGTACTTCGTCTCGAACGCCCTCTATGCGGCAGTAGTTTTAAAATCACTCTTGATCCTGTGTTAGTTCGTCATGTAACTAGTAGAGGCGCACGCGCGGCTGGGGCATGAGCTAACATCACGGCTGTAGAATATAAGGTTGGTACACTACGGGAAATTTGGTGGAATAGAATATGAGGGTCGTAGGAGGCTTAGGCGAGCTTACGAACGTATCGCCATCTGTGAAATACTATTACGCACTAACATCTTTATGAATGAAATTTTTCACTACTGCAGTGCCAAATTGACAACTGACAGGCTGTCAAAACTGTCATTGTATTTCTAGTTGATGTATTATGAACTTATTGATAGAAATTACTGTTTAAATTGGTTTAACCCATTAATGCCCGAGTAATTTTTTTTTTATTATTTTGATAAAAATTAGCAAAACTTAATGCAATAGCCCTTCTAAACACAAACTAGCAAAAAAAACAACTTTTTTTTTTTGTTAACTATGTTTATTTTATCGTATGATATTTCATACGCTGGTCAAAAGAGTGTATGTGTAAAAAACTTTTATTGAAAAATTAATAAAAAAATACTACTTTTTTCACAAAATATTTATTATGGTGTGTGGTAGGCTCTAAAACAATGTGCTGGATGGAGGCCTACATTGCACTTAACACATACAAACTTAGCACATTTCCCACAAAAGCCGCATTTTCGTTGAGTACTGTTGCTATCTACCAGGTGATCCACGCCATCGAATCTAATTTCGGGCAAAACGGCTCTAGTACATTTTGGTTTTGGTCCACCCAAATGTGGAGGCGATGAAAGCAAAGCTAAAACTATTCTGCGAACGAATTCTAGTAAACCAACTTTTGGATGTGCAAATCTATACAGCATCCACATATTTACAACTGCTCCGTTAAAAAAAAATCTTACATATGGCCAATACCACTTTTTGGAACGTATGCGAATGCGATATAAGCCTCTCATTTTATCAAACAAATCAACTCCCCCCATTCCTTGGTTATATATGCTGACCAAAGATGGTTGTTCAATTGACACTGTACTTTTATCCTTTCTAGACCATCGCTTGCACGAACCCTTAGATAAGCATATGTCATTGTTGATTAGGTTTGTTGCTATATTAACTTGATTATTATCATGCCATCTCACCAGTGTAATACTACCTTCCTTTTCTTGTAACACATAAGAACTTCCACGTTTTTCTTTCTTCAGATCTTTGAGAGGCGCTTTATCAATTCTGTCTGCTCGAATTGTACCAACGCAATTTATATCATAAGCTCGAAGATTATGGAGCAATGAAAGGGAATTAAAAAAGTTATCTAGATAAACCGTAAAAAAAAACTGTCTTACCTTCTACCGCCCAAGGTATGATTTTTCATACGCAAGCTATTGAATTCAATTTTAGGTAAAAAAAAATGCAAAACATGTGAAAAAAAATCATAAACAAAATCTACAGACTTCATTTTATATATATCGCAAGAAACATGCATGGATTTTTCTCTTGTAGAAAAAATAAAAAATTGTAAACTTACCTCTTACTCATTCTGCAAAAAATGAAGGACACCGTTTTGCAAAAACCAATATGATAATGTAACTTTGTTTTAAACAATCTCCAATGAATAAGCACTCGAAAGACCATTAAAAAAGGTAGAGTTTGATATATTTCAAAAGCCGGTAAGTTGTCTTTTGTTTTAAGTACCTAACCTCAAACAGTCCCGTTCATATGGTATGAAAAATCATACGGTGGGCAGTAATGGGTTAACGAGATCGCCAATTCAGAGAGGAACGTACATTTACTTAACAAACCTCGGAAACCGCAGGTTTGTTTGATATTTCAAGCACTATTGTTTCATGTAAACAATTATTTAAACGAGCATGTGTGGTGACCAGGTAAACACAGATTGTTTCGAAAAACAAGTACTATTTAAGAACTTTTCGGTAATTGATTACATTAGCTACTGCGATTTTGCCGAATACGTTTTTACAAAAACCTTATACAACACTAAGGCACAGTAGATCAGTAACGAAACTTCAGCAATATTTGCGGAACGGGTGTGACCTTGGGAGCCCGTTCCCGGGAAACACGAAGATTCAAATATTTCGTAGCATTCGTATGTGATTCATATAATACTAATAATAATTGTACACAAAAATAAAAATGGTTGGCATGTATTAGTGACATTGGTCATTTTTTTCTTTCTTATAAATTATTAATATATTCAAGCAAAACATTTTTATTCAATTTTGACGTTTTAAACTGCGTTTATTAAAGCCTTAACAAGTCTGACAAATAAGTTGTTATCCACAAGTGAATTGCAAAATTTTTAATTCACTCTTAATATTTTTAAATCACTCACAAAAAAATAAAAAACAACTTCAGGAACATAAACATTTTGCTTATTATTTTTAATAGTTTTCACAGAATACAATTTGTTTACAATTTTCACTAAAAGGTTGCTGCAACTAAATCAGTATTGTTTGACATATTTGTTTGGCTCTGTGAGGCGTCAATTTGGGAATTGTATAAATCCCACACCAATAGAATTCCAAAGAACGTTTCGGAAACTATTTACTACAGATTATTTCGATACAAGTGCAAGAACCAACTGTGAAACACTATTTTATTTGAAATGAAAAATTTGCTAAGGTGTTCTTTTAAACAAACTTCCACAACACATCTTCCCTGTATTCCGGCCTCTTCAACAATCATTAAGTGATGTGAGTTACCGGAAACTCACCTTGAAAGAACACAACTGTTTATGGTATGTTTGTGGGTACTCATTAATACGAACATTCTTACACCACCACTTCTGCGAAGTTTGTGTGAACTTTGCACATTCTTACGAAGTGGTACATCCTGTTTTAATTGTGTGACATTTTAAAGTTTTCAATGAAGATGTGATTTTTGGCGATTTAATGATGCCACCTAAACATTTGCAGTTTATACTCCGGTAGTGGGTAATATATTTTGTGAGTTTTACCCAATTTATGCACTGTATTCGTTAACTGGTTTGCGACTAAAAAACGAACCATACAAAAATACCATTCCACCACCCCTGCAAAGACTTTCCTCTTGATTACCTCGTCTCAGTTTTTATTAGAGTTAGAATTTTTTACACACTAAAATTTAAAAATAAATCTTGGACCGCTCAAACACGCACACAGCGAAAATTAAACTATTTCGTTTAACCTGCAGTTTGTTGACCTCTTTAGCCTGGAATTTTCTAGTATTTTTTACATGTATCGTAAGACTGTGTCGTAAGTATCTATTACTTTGTTAAAATAAATTTTACGTTTGTTTTTAACCCCATAACCCAACATCCCGTATGATTCCGTAAATAATATGACATTTCTTGTTGACAAAACCAGACAAAACGTTCACCGAAAACCTTAAAATGAAAAAGAAACTATGTTCTTCAAGGTCGGAGCACCTTTAGTGACGCCAGTGACCTCTTTATGTCGTTCCGTAAGCTCCCCATGTATTTCTTATGGAGTCAGCTGAGACTTTCATAGCCCTGACTAAGGTGACCAGACGTTCCGATTTGATGGGAACTGTACCGATTTCAATACTCTAATTCCGACTTTAAATTTCGTCCAATAAATGTTCCGATTAAAACATTTGTTCCGTGCATGTTCCGATTTTTATAAATCTGTAACGAATAAAGATAAATCCTCAGATCAAATCTACAAACATTTCTTATAACATTTGAAGAGTAGGAACGTGATCAGGGCAAGGGTGTCATACGAGAGTTTTGTAAAAACGGTTTCAGAGAAATGGCATAGTGGCTTGTGTAAACAATGATCGAAGACGCTTCCAAAATATTGAACGTTTAATATAAAAATCGTCGTCTTCGTTGATTCACTATTAAAGTCTCTCCAATTGGTTACAATCGTCCGACTTGTCAAAAGGGACAATATCAAAAGATGTCACCCCCTTCGGGAGTTACAGGAACCTGTAATTAATCCGTTTTGTCGCGCGCCAAAACAATTTGTGCTTGAATTGAATATTATCAAAATGTCCAAAAAATATTGCTGTGTGCCTGCTTGTGGGATAATCAAGGATCCTAGAGACCACAAAATAATGCACAGATTTCCTTCAAACACTGTGAACAAAAGGTTGTGGTGCAAAAAGGTTTTTAATGCTACAAGTAGTTACCCCAACATGAATTTTTTACCTAAAGGAATGTATAGCCTTTAAAACCATTTCAGATGATAATATTGCCAATAATTTATACATTTGTGGTAAACACTTTTGAGAGAAGTTGTTACTATTCAAATAAAAGACTTAAACCCGGCTCTGTTCCTACTTTGTTCCTCCATGGTTCCAAGTCACCGCTACCTGTTCCTACTTCTTCAAGCTACCCAGCAAGCACTAAACGTGATCCAGAGTGCAGCTTGATAATTCCTGAGATACATTCCGATAACAATGTAAACACCTCAAAGAAAAATTTTCCTACTGCATATCCCTTTGAAGACCATCCACACCCATGGCGTTGTGACTTTGGCACCGGTACCGAAATTTTGCCTCTTTTTCAAGTAAAAACCGAAATACATGATGTCAAATTGTGTCAAAACGTCAGACCATGACAGACATTTAGCCGACATTACAGATTCCTTTCCCTCCCGACGTATGCGCCCTCACATGTCACATTTAAAGGATTGGAGAGACTTTAATAGTGAATCAACGAAGACGACGATAAAAATCATTATTAAATGTCAAAGTTGTCATTTATGTCGGATTAATCGTGTCCTTTTGATGTGGCAAAAATTAGTGCCTCTAAATTCTGTAAGAGGGACCTCTTTGAAAAAGCGCGTCATGGCCAACTGGTACGGAAAGAAATTATTCCACCTACCGGAACGTGAATGAATGAAAGATTCTCAACCTACAATTTTGCATTTAATTGGAGGAGTAAATGTTTATATCGTGTCAAACTATAATTGTTTATCTTTTAATCCACATTCCTCCATAATTGGAATTTGCTACACTTTAAAATCATGCACATCTAGTGACCTTTATGTAATTAACATGGTGGCGGCATCTGGTGGTACGCATTAAACTATAAAAAGAATCAATCAACAGGTTACGTGGTCAGTTATCATCCTCCGTTGACTTGTTTACCAATGCACGACGTGATGTCGCTTCGGTACATTCTGGTAAAATAAACTTTCAAAAACTTGTGTTTATAACTTTGTAGGATTTATTCATTCTTCGTGCGAAAATAAGTTGATTTGAAAGTTAGAGTGAGTGCAAAATTACAGTGGTAATAATGTGATAAGTAATTTTTTAATTTAACGAGGTGGTAAAAACATGAAATGTCTACTTTAAATGATATTTCATGTTATAATGTAAAAACACTTTAAACTTGAAAAGTTAGGTTATCCTGTTAATTCTGTACGTTCTGAACATTTTTGTGTTATTATTTACCGGCCATAGTTACAATTATTAAGGTATCTACAAACAGCCGGGTAATAACCAAGGAACTTGTTAAAGGTGAGTTTTTACACACAACTTAATTGTTTTATATCAGTTTGTTCAATTTGTTTTGAATTTGTTCAGTCTGTTTTGTTTTAATTACATCCCCTATCGTTTAATGTAGAAGTAAATATACATAATCGGTATCCATATTTTTTAAACATCGTTTACACTAGAATAACACTAATAACATACTGATAAATATCATGTCAAGTATTATTTATCGCACGGAGCGCAGGATTTGATATTGAGTTCCACATCCCACATTTCCGTTTTAAATGTAGGATTTTGTTGGTTTAGATTAATATGGCAAGTGTGGTTAATTTATGTACATAAAACTTTTTTTTTGAGATAAATGATATTCTATGATTTTGAAAATTGCTTGTTAGTTTCGTAGCTCTTTTACTACAATTATATTTTCGCTTGAGTCATAAATTTAGACCACGTTTAACTTCCACTACAGTTATTTACAGAAATGAGTTTTTGATGATGATAAATCGAGTCTATTACAATAAGCATTGCATCATTTTTCTCCCTAAGATTTAAAAGTATCAATTTTTTTGTTTTATCACTTGAATTTTTTATTCAGATCACAAAAACGTGGGTATTGCGAATTTATAGGTCGATTCTGTAACAATCAGTTAACATTATGTTATTTTAAATTTCTGTTATTAAAATTGCTATGTTATCAGGACGTTAACATAAAACAAGAAATGTCGTATTCTGTAAACCGTTATGTTAGTACCTAAATAACAGATGTGTCATTTGTCCGAAAATGTTATTTTTCGAAGTAATGACACCATTTTCATCATCTGTCACTGTCAAACAAATACAGCACGAAAATGTGTTTTTTCATAATATTTTTGCTTAGTAGATATTATCGCTTCTGCTGTCGTTGGGAACTAGATCCAGACAGGCATTAAAATTTCACTAATTAGGTGACAAATTTAAGTCATGACCCTGCTAACCGATGACTGACTCATGGCAACAGAAGAAGACATTTTTACGCAGTGTTGGTATGGAGCCATGGCCTAAAAAGTTCAATGTGGCTAAAATTTTTAAGTATTCCGGAATAGCACTGGCACGTAGATTTCCCAAATGAAGTTGCAACCTCTTCAGTAAGAAACGGGTCATATTTTTGCTAAAATGAAAGGACTTTCTAAATTCCGTCTTTGTTAAATTTTCAAAGGAATTTTGATTGTCGCGAAGCTCCCTCAGCCGAATTCTCATTCTGTACATATAATACATGTACTGTTATATTTTTAGTAATAGTATGATATGAAAGACCTACCGTTGAATTTCGTCTTCTAATAAGTAACCGAAGACGGGTAGAAAATCATCCACTTCTGTCATTTTACTTCTTTTGCCACCTCAGTCAAATTTGTGATATTATTAATTAATAAACCTCAAAATAACCGCATTATGTTAATAACATTGACTCAAATGTCTCTGTTATTTTACAGAGTATTTTAATAACATAATGTTATTAACATAACAGAAAGAACCTTAGCGAATTGCAATTTATGTTAAATATGTTATTACATAGCAACAACAGAATGTTAGCTGTGTTTACATAGTGATAACAGAATGTTATTAACATAACAAGTTACAGAATCGATCTATTAAACTACTATATTTTCGGGTGGAAAACAAATTCGTTTGTAATTTCCATGTTTACGAATATTAATAATACCTGTTTGATGATTCACATTAAATTGTCGCTCTTATTTACCAGTTAATATTTTATAAACATAAATCTGAAAGTGGTACAAATGTTTAATATCAGGGTTGATAATAAATTACTTTTTTTTTAATTAAAGATACGTACAGTCGCGGCCATAGGAAACTGGACTACTTTGACATAACAAAGTTTTAGTTGTTATTTTTATTAAATTATCATAATAGCAATTTGAAAGTACCGTCACGAGCAAAAAATTCTGGTCGTCAATGTCACTGTCTGCCATTTAATTCTGTCTAAAAAAATGACATTCAAGACTTGAGATTTGAAAAACGGGTCAGTGACTATGTAAAAATTATTTGTTTTTTTAAACTCTAAATTTTTTTTTAATTTTGAAGCTCGTGTCAAACCCTAGTGGTCCAATTTTTCATAGCCGCTGCTGTGCCATTTATTGAATTATGTTGGTCGACGTATCCAATTCCAAACAAGCTAAATAATTCACATTTGGTATCATAAAACTACACAAACTTATAAGTCAACGTGTGCAAATTTAATATAAACCAACAAAAATAAAGAAAGTTGTTTTATCTGTCAAGAATTTAATTTTAACGTGAGCCATTCGATCAAGTTACAGGGTTGGTATAACATTAAAAGCGAGACCTAAGCTCGTATCATATCTCAAATCTCATAAAGTGAAGTTTCTACATTAATATGTCCTCCGTGGTTTATGTTTCGTCTAACAGTGGGCAGATCGTCTCTTGTGGCACGTGACTACTAAATATAAGCTTATTTAAAATAATATAACTTGATAATTTTTAATTTTTCAAGATAGTACTGAATTTAACGAAGTTATAGCAAAATATCGATTGTTATGGGCCGCCATAAAACAGTGCAACTTTTTTAAATTCAACAGAATTTATATGGTGATACTTCTTAAATTTCACCAGTTATAGAGGTATGTATGCATTGAATATACTGTATGTCAAAAAACTTTTAGTAAATCGTTTTAAAAAGGGTAAATATATATTTTTATAATTCAAAATGTGCATGGCACTGATAAAGCAATCGTATTTAGGTTGTATTTTGTATATCTGTAGTCTCTAACAACAAATGATTGTTATGCGACAACTGTGTAAAAGAACGGACAGAATTCTAAAGTTTGGAGACACGACAGTAAAAATTATTTCGATATCTTGCAAAATTGTAGATACAATTTTTTCCATAAAAAATGTTCAGTGCTTAAAATCTTCGTATTAAACCTAAGCTTAGCTTTAGTAAAAGTATAATGTTAATAATCAGTTATGTACTTCAATATTTTTAAGAGATTTAGTAGTATATATTGATACTAATTCGGAGCTAAACTGCGGGTCGTTTAAACTGGTTTACATATACGCAAAACCGACCTTTACTGACAGTAAACTGACAAGTTAGGGTAATGTAACTGAAATCTACAACGTAGTTTTTTACAAGCAATTGTTAAATACGGAAATTTGACCTAAAAATTTCTACTCTTGTGAGACCGTAACTTAGATTAAAAAACCACAAAATTTGTTCGCAGAGTCAGAATTAAGTAATAATTTTTATCTATCAATATAATAATAAGTAGACAAATTTATTAAAAAAAAAAAAACATCGAATTTTATTCAAAATTTTCTTAAGTGGAGAAATTAAAAAAAAAGTCGGAATTTTATTCACAATTTTCTTAAGCCAAGCACCCGTCGGTTGCATCCAGCAATGTACTTTCAAAAACTGTGAAAAATTATTTCGTAATTAGCACAATCATTATCTTTTAAGAAACCCGCCAACACTTTGCGATTTTTGTGTTCGCTACTTACAAACTAAAAACTATCATTTAGCAAAAATTTTGTTAAAAATGTTCTACCAAAGATATTAAAAAATGTGTTTTCACATTCGATGCATTTAATTTTTTAATAATCCATATTGACATGCTTTAGGTGCCTCCAAATTCAATAGACAACTATTGAATTTCGACACACCTAAATTAAAGTCCAATAGTAGTTTACAAAAACTATTATTTGAATCGAGAGAGCTAGAAATATGGATACTATTTAAAGTACACGGGATATTGGATAAATGCGGAATGATCAAAAATGACTGGGTCTGTTGGTACTTTTTAAACAAAAATGGGAACCTTTCGTGCGTTTAAGTATGTTGACGTAACGGAAGTAATTGCGTGATGCGATAAATTTAGGTTATGTTTTGGATACATTTTGCAAATTAAAAATATCAACAATCTGTCGATCTTGACAGCTGACAACCGGAAATTATGGAAAACATCATGATACCAATTTCAAACAAAAATCCAGGAGTGCCAACAGACTCAAGTCAATTCCAATTCTGATCACGCGGTATGATTAAAAAAGTAACATGTTTGCGAACTCTGTGGATGTCGCATAACAATATGGTTAGCGCTTTCATGTTTTCCTATTATTGTGGTGTGTTAAATCATAAACGAAACAAAAATCTGCAAAGTTTTTGCACCGAACTTTTATCGCCCCGGAATAATCGATACCTGATTGCCTGTTTCAGAAGCCAGAAAAGTTCGCTGCAAATAAGTTTATAGTTTATTTTTACTTTTCTAGACACATTGCATATGAAAATATGAACTAAACGATAACTGGTAATTTTTCTGAACCTAAATGTTTTGACAAGCTTTTGATTAATCGTTGTTTGAAAAAAGTCGTTTACATATTTAAATTGGAATATATGTATATTTATGCACATATTATTTTGTAAGATGTTTTTTTTTTGGTGACGTAAAAATTGCAGTAAGTGACTGCCTTGCCAAAATGTTGTGAAAATTAAATTAAGTGAAATAACTGGGTTCATGTACTAATTTTGTGAGACATGCTGTATAGACATTAAAAAATAAAGAGAGAGCAAAACAAATTTCATTTTTTAACAGAATTTTAAAATAATTCGATGTGGAAAAACGTTTTAATTCGTGGTTAATGTATGGCCATTATCGTATTAATATTTTCGAGAGCACATAAAATAAAACCGATAATAATAGATCTTGTTGATTCAGTAATTTTAGGCATAAACATATTTACAAAAGTGTCGTATTAGATACGTGGTTATTTTTGTTATTATAAAACCACTGTTACAAATGATCAATCCGTTACTATTGTACATACATTTTATTACAATGAACTAACCTTATGCAAGCTCAAGGAGAACTTCATTGTCTCAGATCGTGGCGATGAAAATTCAGGTTAGGTTAGGTCAAACACCTCAAATGTTATGTATATGGTGCTTCTGGTGTAGTTTGTTACACAATCACTTTTTTTGCAGATCCAATTAAACTGTTAAAGGCAAC